ATATTTCGGATCGTCTCTATTGGGCAGACTTAGTCAAATGCTACCCGTCCGAAACTCAAAAAAATATTTTCGCTCGTGCGTAGATGATGCGGTACTCGCGCGAACATACATACAAAAGTGTACGTTCGTCGCTTGAGGTACGTTTTGCACAAACTTTGCGACGCATTGGGTGTTATCAGGCAGACAATTCAGCAAGGAACATTTTACGCAATAACGGCAGGTTCGAAATAGTTTAGCTAAGCAGAAGTTGTTAGACACTGATTAGCCAGTAGACACATTCGCCCACAATTTGTTAGCTTATTGGAATAAAAAATTTACAACTCAGCCGTAAAAATTGCCTACCTCACAATAGATTCTTTTGGACAAATGTCCGTTTTCGTCCAGTCCTTGTAACACCATGGCGGATGTAAATTTATCAATCATTAAAGTTGCAAATTTTTAAAAGTTGAATTATTGTTCCTTACTGTTACCTGCAACGCCACTACACTTAAAGTTTTACGGCAACGTTGCGACTTAAGGAATGGATTTCGGCGAAATACTCTTCAAACTCTGAAAAACATATTCAACAAGTGACGACTTTTTAAAAATAATTCTCCACCCAATCCGCAAGCATTATTATATTCTAAGAAAAATCAAATCATCAATAAATAAATAAATTACACAATAAAAATTACAACTCAGGTGCAGAAAACATGCTTGAAAATAAATGAAACAAATGCAAAAAAGCAATTTATGAAGAAGCCTATCATTTCATTGTATGGCACTAACTTACACTTCGTCCTGCTTACAATTTTAAAACAACAGAAATTTTGACAAAAAACAAAAACACTGCAGTAACTAAGAATACAAAACATCTGTCAGTCTTTCAACTGTTGATCATTGAGTGATACGATCGCACAAGCCTACCACAACCAGCACAATTCAATTCATATAGCCTTTACACTTCTTACTCTGACACCTGCAGATGATTTTGTTCTCCTCAATGGGGAATTTGTAGTTGTACGTCAGCTCCTCCCCCCTCCGTATGTACCTTTGTTGTAATCCAATTGGCAGAATTTATTGTATGTTTATTAATCAATATCTATCACTTCAAAATCTAATTTCTGACTTAGCAGATGAATTAATATGCTGGCACACCAGTTTAAATCTTTAAACTCACAAGACCCCAACCACAAACGGTATCAAATGGTATAATTATCAATATCGTCATCATCGACATCACTGACGCCATTCGAATCATTATCATCACAAACAACATCACGTCATCGTCATCATAATCATCACCTTGACGTGCAGATGATGATTCTCTTCCTGCCTTCAATCTGGCAGACCCTGGAGTAACAGTTGGGTTCGCAGGAGTGGTTGATGAATCGAGCCGAGTTACCTTTCATTGTGGCATCCACCACGTTCAATTCATCTATCTGCGGTGCGAAAGAATTATAACTTTTATGAAATAGTGCACAGATTGAGGTATGATACAATGATAATGACGACGCAATGCTGATTTAGTGTTTGAAATAAAGTATACTCTAGCTGCGACAGCGTTTTTAACGATAATCAACAACGTCCATCAACACAAAGACACACAAGCAAGCAAGCAGCCGTGTAACCAACCTTAAACATGTAGCATCCGATATTTTTAGCCTCATACAACTTTTCCCTGGCATCAGTCAGCACCGGCCTGATGAGTTCTCCGCAATATTCAATCACCATCTCTCCAGCCTCCAAGCCCCTCAGTGCAAACAGACCTCGTCCGTGAATGGCAGATGCCTGTACAACTGTCGTGCACCTGAGCAGTGCCCTCATTGAGTGGAAACGAGATGACAGACTGGTGGGTGGGTGTTGTTTGTTTGTTTTTTATTTGTTGAGTGATGTTTGTTTATTTATAAAAATTGATATTATTTAAGTGAGATGCAGAAAAGTAGAATAAAACATTAAGCTGAACACAAATGAGAAAGAGGAGTGATTAAAATTAAAAACAGTCAAAAAATATTATGGACTGAATAAAGACTGCAACTAAATTCTGCAACTAAGCGGAAAGTTAAAAAAGACTATTCACAGTGACCAATGATATGGCTGGCAGTTTGTAGCTGATTTAAATAGCTGATAAACAATTGAACTGATCCACAGCAAGTTCAAAATGCTGTGGAATTATTTGAATGCTTCTCAACGAAGGGGTCTAATAAATTTTAGTATCAACAATTGCGGAAGTAGATTTTTATGTCATTGAAACTTATGACGAAATAAAAAATTTCAACAGAAGCTAAAAGAAGTACAAACCTTTCTTTCACTGACCCATTGAATCTCCCAGAAATCATCTTCATCTTATCCCTGGATATTTTGATGAGTGGTCGATGGACTGATAGTAAGAAATGAAAGTAATCAAACGACTTCCTGGAGACATAAGGAACGTGACGAGCACACGATAACAACTCTTTATCATCCTTTTCCTCGCCTCTGTGGACATCTTCAGACTGCAAGTCCTTCGCTACACCAGCCATCTGCCGCTGAATTCATGTATTGAACGGTGACTATGAAGCTTAATTGGTAGATGGAATTACTAATTACTACAGTATTAACTCATCCAAAAGTAACTCCATGCATCACATTTTAACTTATACAAATGATAGTTGAATGCCATTACTATTATAATCATAAGCATAACATCTTTATCATTATCACCCAATTATCGTCATCATCACTTCATCAGAATCCCTCCATCATTACCATCACGTTCTTGTTGACGAGGTGGATGAGTTGCTGAACGACAGGTACATCCAATCCGAACATCCTCACTCCATTGACACCTGGATTGACCAATCAAACAAACAACCGACAATGAAATAATTACATTATACTACAATGATAGCAACCAACCAGAATACAAACTATCTGTAATGAATTCAGTCAGCAAGATTAAAAATACTTTACTAAGAGTAATTTCAATATAACGATCACAAGTAACACCATAATATCAAAATAACAATAGAAACAGGAATTAATATTTAAAACGAAAAAAAAAACAATAAAGACAGCAATAGCAATAATAATAACTACAATGATAAAAATAATGACACTAACAATAATAATATTAATAATAATAACAAAGATAAAAAAGTATCCAACCATGGCACGCCACCTGCGGCAGGTTGAACTTCTTCCTGGCACTGTTCACTTCAGTTAATACATTTCTCCACGAATCTGTTAACCAATTAGTTAGTTAATTAATTATCTATTAACTAATTAATTTTTTAATTTATTTAATTTATTTTTAATTTATCTAATTTTTTTAATTTATTTATTTATTAATCAATCATTAACAAATCTGTTAGCCAATTAGTTAGTTAATTAATTATCCATCAATTAATTAATTTTTTAATTAATTTATTTTTAATCAATCATTTAGCTAAATGTAACTAAAATAAAGTTTGAAAAAATATGAAGCAGAAATATCCATTTGAAAAATGTGATAATATAAGCACAGCAAATATATATATTTTCAAAATTTTATTCTTATAATTATTATTATAACTATTATCGTTGTTATAATTATAATTACTATAATTATTATTGTGAATTTCTACAAACTGATACGAATAATAATCAATAACCATCTGGATTTGGCGTTGAGGTATAGAAGCCTTCATCACTGTATATCTCAAACAGTTTATTATTATTATTACTATTATTATCACTATTTTTATTTTTATTATTACTATTATCACATTTATTATTATTATTATTATTGTTGTTGTTGCTGCTGCTGTTGTGGCAGCTATCATTGCTTCTACTACCATAGTTGATTATTACATAATTGCTTTCATTAATTTTCTTTGGACCGTTATTAGTGGTAGAATAAATATCTTTATTAATACTATTATTAATAATAACATTATTATTATTTGTAGTAATTGTAGTAGTATTAGTAGTAGTAGTTGTCGTCGTAGTAGCAGTAGTAGCAGCAGCAGTACTAATAGTAGTAAGACTAATATAATTATTACTTTTAATGTTATTGTTTTTACAAATGTTGCCATTAGCACTGTTTCCAATGTTGATAATTTGATGATTTCTACCAGAACTACTAACGAAGTTGTAAATGTGGTTGCGGTAGTTGCTGCTCTGGCGACCGCTGCTCTGGTGGTTACTGCTCTGGTGAATAACTTTGTCGTAAATGTTGTTGTGGATATTGTTGTTGTGGATATTGTTGTTGTGGATGTTGCTGTTGTGGATATTGTTGTGAACAGTTTGACCGTTGTTGCTCCTATTTAAAGTAGCATTTAGACTCATTTGAGCAAGAGAATTGGATTGAGGTGCTGGAGTTAAAGTTTTGCTATAACTAGTTTTGTCGTTAATGGAGTCTCTCAAAAATTTATTATTAACATCATTATTATTATTATTATTATTATTATTATTACTATTATTACTACTATTATTATTATTATTGTAATTGTCGTGTTTAAATTTTTTGTTAATATGGTTTTTAACGTCACAGGCGTGATTCTCAATAGCTGTGGCGCGCAGTGCAGTTTTTGAATTAAAATTCAATAGAAAGTCATAGAAGTCACTGAAGACCTTTGAATCACCGTTGCTACAGTCGTTAACGTTGTACATGTTGCTGTTGTTGCTGTTGCTATGATTGTTGTTGACGTTCACGATGTTGTTGGTATTATCGTTTTCAATGATGTTATTTTTAGCAATGTTGTTGCTGTTTTTGTTGTTGTTGGGATTGTTTTGGTAGCTATTAATGCATTTGTTGTTTACACAGTTGTTTGTACCACTAATGATGTTAGTGAAGTTGTTGCAAAAGCTTTTGTTAGAACAGTTGTTGATGTCTTTTTTGTTTGAAGACAGAATGGAGGGTTTGATGAAGCAGGCTGCTAGTGTTGCAGCTGACGATGCAGGGTTCAATAATACTGACATTGATGTCTTAACTGATGAAAACTCTGTTGGTAATAATAAAGACGATGCAAAACACGATGAAGTTGTTGGTGACGAACATGATGACGTTGATGATGGCTTTAATGGCAGTGATTTGACAGACTCTGCAACAGCTTTCGGTGAGAAAAAATTAGCAGAGTTGATCACACTCGAATTTATGTTAACATTAGTACTACTGTTGTTGCTGGTGCAATAATTATCATTGTTGGAAACATTGAATAAGCTTTTGTTTGTGAGAAGATTTTGAAAGGAAGCCATAGGGAAAGAGCCGACGTAAGAAATGCTTCCTCTTCTAGCAGTAGTACTACATCTAGAAGCAGTACAACAGTTAGTGGCGGTACTGCATCTAGTTGTAGTGGCTGAGGTAGAGACTGCAGTCAAACCATAGGTTGTCACAACATTAAGAGTGCTTGTACAATCTTCGTCAGTATCACTATCACTACCACTACCATCCTCATTATCATCACCATCATTTTTATCATCAGCAATGCCATCGACCTGAAGAAGTCGGTAATCGTGGTTAGTGTTCGATTTTGTTGGGGACACATTATCGCCAACCTCATGGTCGTAATCATCAGTGTCATCATCGTCGTTATCATTTTCACATTCAAACGAACTATTAGTAGCATCATGGATAGATTGTGAAATGTTGGAAGTATGAACATCATCTTGAGAATCGAACAGTGGATGGTCATCTTTTTGTAGTGAGCAGCTGTCCAGTAGTGAAGTCTCGCTTGTTGTCGTCGCCGAGCTGACAATGTTGCAGTAGTAGTTGCATAATTTTGACGGATCACCAATGCTCCAGAACACTCTTTTAATGCTGCAAACAATAGAGTAAACAGAATAGAATATCTCAAAGACTTAAATCCAATCAGAAATGATAAAAATAAATTTGCTGTCATCAAAAGATTTTAGTAAATTAGCAACCAATGAAATAACGGAATATAAAGTTGTGTTGTGTGCATGCAGGCAGGTTGTGTGTCAAATGAGTCCTACCTGTAACCAACTGGAGTTGTAAGTGCAGCAGCAGATGATGCTGGCAATGTTGATAGTAATGATGTTGACGATGATGATAGTAATGATGTTGATGTGGAGGCTGAACATGAAGCACTTGTTGTGGATGTAAATCCCAGGTCAAGAATCTTCAGAGAACCTAAATAAAGTGAGCATGAATAAACTTGCCACATCCACAAAACTTAAAAAAAAACCTAAAATAAATAAATTTAAAAAAGTGTACCACAAATGAATGATTTGTTGACCATGGAATCTTCACTGCAGTCACTCTCGCTTTCATCACTATCGTCATCTTCCCTATCATTCAAGGCAAAAACTGTTCTTTCAACTTTAAAATCACTGAGTCTCTTCTGAAAAAAAATAAATCAAATTTTAAATGAAATGACTGACTGAGTAACCACCTAACGTTTGAATGAACAAATCACCCAGTCAGGCTACCAAAACCATTTCGTCAGAGACCTTGACCTCAAGATTTCTTCCCCTGAACTTTGACCTTCCATGCAGCTCACAGAGAACTTGTTTGTCAGCCATGATGCACTGCAGAAGAAGTGCACAAGGAAAGTGGTAACTAAGGCAACATGGTGATCGATTGCTGAGAACGTGATGGTTGCTGTTGTGGTGGCGATAATGTTGGCAGTTCAGTGTGGCTCCTGGTTTTTTGCAATGGTGGCAGATCTTCAATGGATGATAAATTAAATTTTAAAAAGTAAACATACAGCGAGAAAGGAATGAGCACTAATACAGTAATACAATGAATGCAAACTTTTTGTTTAGCATCTTTGATAACATTCCTGATACTCGAGTGACCTGAACTGCTCCACAGCAGGCAGTTGACGTGAATCCACTCATCATTGGCCAGGTACAACAGTCGACCGCCTAACTAATTATGTGGTTTGCAAAAATAAAAACTTTTAGAATTTAAAAATATGTTTCTCTTCAGTGAATATTATTAAAACAGATATATTAACAATCGTATGTGAATCAGTGCATAACAAACACTGCATGTGAAAGGCGGGAATTTCTTTGCATTTAAACCTAGTTAGTGCAACAGCAGTGCCAGTCACCTTAACCATTACAACATTGTGTCGTACGATGTCTCAAAACAATGAATCAAATTAAATATAAATTTGTAACTATTTTTAAATTTTTTTAAATTTGGGAAAATAAAAATTTGTTCACCGAAATATTTCACTTATTTTAGATTCCATTATCTAAATTTCAAAATAAGAATATCAACTTGATCAGCTTGTTGAAATTTTATGGCACGCCATAATTGAAATGTTGTTAGACATTTATAAATGATGTAGTATATTAAATTAAAAAGTAACAATAAATCCAGCATTTCCAGTTACATTGGATGGAAGATCTTGAGTTTTCCAGCACAACGCGCATTTCCTTCTGAGCCTGTTGTTATATTTACTGAACTTGTTATAATTAACATTTTTATGACTATTATTAGACCAATATGTGGAATGATTAGCGTTGCAAGCATCCCTGCAAGTACTATGCCCACTTCTTCTCGGAGGCTGACAGCTGCTTCCTTCAAAT